AAAAAAAAAAAAAAAAAAAAAAAAAAAAAAAGTAGAAAAAAAATACAAGCAGCCTCCCAAAGAATGACTTATCCTAGTTTTCTTAGTTCATTTTAAAGATGCACATGGGGCTGGTGAGATGGCTCAGTGGTCTAAAGCACTTACTTAGAACAAGCTTAGCAAAGCAGAGGGACCGCGGTTCAATCCCCCAGCACCACATGCCAGCCAGCCCCGCCCCCTGGTGGGCTGAGCTGGCTACACTCACACACACACACACACACACACACACACACAAAATAAATAAATAAATAAATGTTTAAAAAAAATAATAAAGATGCACATGTACACCAGGCACAGTGGCCCACATCTGTAACCCACACTTGGGAGATGGAGGCAGGAGGACCACGTGATCAAGACCAGCTTGGACAGCATGGCGAGTTCAAGGCCCACCTGAAACCTCGTCTCAAAAAAATTTTACGTGTAAGTATAAATAACATTTTAGAAGCATGTTTTATGTCAACACTTACCAACCTTCCTCAGTGCTTATGACTTAGGGTAGCAGCCAACCAAGCACCTCGGTAAGGAGGTGGCTTTCTGCTTGGGCCAGCACTCTCCCGAGTTTTGTTGTTTGGTTTGGCTGACTGCCCTAATTTTTCTGTAAGGCAGCTTTGCTAGGTGGGGTTACTGAACCAGAGTGCATATGAATTGTCATCTCAGTTTTTAGTCTGAGATGAATAAAATCCTTCATTAAATACTAGCAGTCAAAATTAATGATGTTGGAGCCGGGGAGATGGCTCAGTGGAATAAGCGCTTCCCTGGCAAGCGCAAGGACCTGAGTTCAATCCTCGGTTCCACCAAAAAAAATAATAATAATAATAATAATGATGTTAATTTTTATTACACTTTTGTCAAACTGACATGTAGAAATCATTACCAAGCTCAACAATTTTTGTACATATGTAGCAATTCTTTCTCTATCTTCTCTTTTTTCTAGGTACCCATTTTTCTATTAAATTATTCTTTTTATAACTGATTTTTCAATCATTCTTCTTTTCTAATTAAGAAGTCATCGTTTTCAGGGCCAGGGAGATGGCTCAGTAGAATAAGCATTTGCCTGGCTAAGTGCAAGGCCCTGAGTTCAATCCCTGGTTCCACCAAAAAAAAAAAAAAGAAGTCATCGTTTTCTTGGCCTTCTGTGTCACAAATATTTTTTCCAATTTTTTACCTGTATTTTATTTCCTACATGCACAAAAATTATAATTTAAGGGATTTTGCCAAATTTAATGTGAGCAGTAAGTGCAAAGCTACAAGCATTCACCAGCCTTCA